AGAGGAATCTTCCTGGAGACAATATCAGAGGTTTTGCAACACAAAATGTCCTCGAGAGAGGATGGAATGCTGAGATTCCTCATAGCTTTGGTAGGGACAGTATAAGCACAAGTCTCGGACACGCAAGTAACTTTCTTAGAAACAAAGGGAAAAGGGGTGGAGTTTGCTCCATAAAAAGGTACAAAGGAAGTAGCATGTATACCGCCGGGAACATGTGAGTAGATCAGAACAGTTTGATTGGGGTCAACCATAAAAGTTGTTATGGCAGAGTTCATCCCACCCAGAGACTTGCACACACAGTGTCGATGAGATTTGGCACGAAACGGGACTGCAAGGCAATAAGGTGGGAGCCCGCCTAAGAAAGCAGGGAAGGCATCCTTATCATGAGTCCAACCACGTCTCATCTTGGCAACTATAACAATCTCAAACCCACCTTTCAATTTAGAGTAAAGTTCATAAGATGCAGCTGCAATTCTCCAAGTAGACGAGGAAGAGTAACAAACAGGCAAGAAGAAACAGCAAACCATGACAAATTTCCCACAAAGATCACCCGCTTTAACAACTGTTGGCAGATAATTAAGAAACATAAAGAAAAAAAAAAAATGGTTATTAAATAACCATGCATTACCATTGAAAATTAAAGGTGTTTCCAAATATAGGGAAAAATAACTAATGGTAATAAATATTGCAGGCTAAATTTTAAATGGCTTAGGTTGTTTTAGGAAAACTATAAATTGAGCATTTCCTTCATTTGTATGTAATAATTTCAAGAGAAAATCCGAGAGAAGAAAAATAACTCAGACAAAAGAGGGGTTGTGTTTTTTGCACTTTGGTATAAATAGACATTTTGTTTATCTAATTTATTTCTCCCTCAAATTTGATTAAATAGAAAATTTGCATTATTTTCTTAACAATTGGTATCAAGAGCTTGGTTGACAATTAGTCCACATTACGATAAAAATAAAAACGATCCTAAAAGAAAAAGTCAAATTTGAGTGGGAGAAATGGCTGCAGACAAAGGAGAAGTTAAACTTGAAAAATTCGATGGTAAAGATTTCGGATTTTGGAAAATGCAGATTGAAGATTATTTATACCAGAAAAAACTCTATCAACCTCTGGAAGAGAAAAGCCAGATGGCATGCAAGAAGCAGAATGGAAGCTTTTAGATAGAAAAGCACTCAGAGTTATTCGATTGACGTTATCACGCAATGTGGCGTTTAACATTGCAAAGGAAACTACAACGGCAGGTCTCATGAAAGCTCTCTCTAATATGTATGAGAAGCCATCAGCCTCCAATAAAGTTCATTTGATGAGGCGGTTGTTTAGTTTGAGGATGTCGGAAGGTGGATCGGTAGCTCAACACCTTAATGAACTCAATTCTGTCACAACCCAATTGAGTTCTGTTGAAATCAAATTTGATGATGAAGTATTAGCGTTAATACTTTTATCTTCCCTACCAGATAGTTGGAATGCTACAGTCACAGCTGTGAGTAGCTCATCGGGAAATAACAAGTTGAAGTTTGATGACGTTCGTGATCTGGTTCTTAGTGAGGAGATTCGACGAAGAGAATCAGGTGAATCTTCATCCTCTTCAGTATTGCATATAGAGTCAAGAGGAAGAAATTTAATCAGAAGGAATGAACGCGGAAGATCAAAATATCGAGGACAATCCAGAGATAGGAGGTCAAAATCCAAGAATCCAAATAATTTCCAAAACTCAAAGACTGTGGAGTGTTGGAATTGTGGAAAGATTGGGCACTATAAAAATCAGTGCAAGGGAACACCAAAAGGCAAAGAAGTGAAGGCAGAGGCAAATGTCACTTCTACCGGAGAAGGTGATGATGCGTTGATATGCTCATTGGAGAGCAAAGAAGAGTCTTGGGTATTAGACTCTGGAGCATCGTTCCATGCTACTTCTAATAAAAACTTTTTTGAGAAGTATGTACCTTGGTGATGACCAATCTTGTGATATTGTTTGTCAAGGTAATGTCAAAATTAAGTTAAATGGGTCAGCTCCCAAGCTGAAGGATGTCAAACATGTTCCCGACCTAAGAAAGAACTTGATCTCAGTTGGGCAGTTAGCTCGTGAAGGTTACACTATAATCTTTCAAGGTGATAATTGGAAGATTTCAAAGGGAGCAATGATAGTTGCTCATGGTAAAAAGAATGGTACTCTCTATTTGACAGCTGGAGCGTGTTATTCGATTGCAGTTGCAACAGAGAATGAAAATTCCAAGTTATGGCACCAAAGACTTGGTCACATGAGTGAGAAAGGAATGAAGATCATGCATTCAATTGGAAAACTCCCTAGTCTAAAATCTGTGAATTTAGACATGTGTGAAGAATGCATACTTGGAAAGCAGAAGAGGGTAAGCTTTCAGACATATGGAAGAACTCCAATGAAAGAAAAATTGGAGCTTGTTCATTCTGATGTGTGGAGACCAACAACCACCCAGTCTGTAGGTGGAAAACAGTACTTTGTGACTTTTATTGATGATCACTCTAGGAAAGTATGGGTTTACTTTCTAAAATACAAGTCCGAAGTGTTTGAAGTTTTCAGGATATGGAAAGCTAGGGTTGAAAATAAAACAGGTCTGAAGATCAAAAGATTCAGGTCCGACAATGGCGGAGAATATGAGGACACCAAATTCAAGAAGTTTTGCTACGAGCATGGTATTAAGATGGAAAGAACTGTGTCAGGTACGCCTCAGCATTGGCATAGCTGAGCGGATGAACCGAACATTGACAGAAAGAGCCAGAAGCATTCGTATACAGTCAGGTCTACCAAAACAATTCTGGGCAGAAGCAGTCAATACAGCAGCTTACTTGATCAATCGAGGACCATAAACCCCATTGGAGTACAAATTACCAGAGGAGGTATGGAGCGGCAAAGAGATCAAATTGTCGCACTTAAAGGTATTTGGTTGTGTAGCTTATGTGCACATTAGTGATCAAGGCAGAAATAAGCTTGATCCTAAATCAAAAGTTTGCACTTTTATCGGTTATGGCGAAGATGAGTTCGGATACCGCATTTGGGATGATGAAAGCAAAAAGATTATTCGTTCAAGAGATGTAATTTTCAATGAGAGAGTCATGTACAAAGACAGGCATAAAATTGAGAGTCATGAAACAAATCAAAAAAAAATCTACATTCATTGATGAAGATTATGTCCCAGACAGTACGATGCAAGAGTACACTATCATAAGTACTCCGCAACAAGAAGAACAGACTGTACAGGGCAGTACATCGCAATCAAATGACATACAACAACCTTCTTGTCCAACTCCTACCCTAAGAAGGAGTACTCGACCACATGTGCCTAATAGAAAATATATGAATTATTTGTTATTAACTGATGATGGGGAACCAGAAGATTATTATAAAGCATCCCAGACCAGAGATGCTAGCAAGTGGGGGCTTGCAATGAAAGATGAAATGCAATCCCTGATTTCAAACCAGACATGGGAACTAACTGAGTTACCCATAGGTAAGAAGGCCCTTCATAACAAATGGATATATCGAGCAAAAAAGGAGCACGATGATTCCAAGAGGTATAAGGCTCGACTAGTTGTCAAAGGTTTTCAACAGAAAGAAGGAGTTGATTATAATGAGATATTCGCTCCTGTTGTGAAACTCAATACCATTAGAGCAGTGTTGAGTATTGTTGCAATTGAAGATCTTTATCTCAAGCAGTTAGATGTGAAGACTGCAAATTTTCATGGAGATCTTGATGAAGAAATATACATGCACCAGCCAGAAGATTTTATAAAAAGTGGGAAAGAGCAGATGGTATGCAAACTTAAGAAAAGTTTATACGGGCTAAAACAAGCCCCAAGACAATGGTACAAAAAGTTTGATAACTTCATGCACAAGGAAGATTTCCAGAAGTCCAACGCTGACCACTGTTGCTACTTCAAGAGATATCAATCCAGTTATATCATCCTATTACTTTATGTTGATGATATGTTAATAGCAGGTTCTGATATGAATGATATTATAAAGTTGAAGCATCAATTGTCAAAGGAATTTGACATGAAGGACTTGGGTCCAGCAAAGAAGATTTTAGGAATGCAAATCACAAGAGATAAGCAGAGAGGCACTTTGCAGTTATCACAATCAGAGTACATCAAACGTGTTCTTCAGAGATTTAATTAGGGTGATGCTAAGCCTGTTAGTACACCGTTGGCGAGTCATTTTCGTCTATCAAAGGATCAGTCCCCGCAGACAGATGAAGATAAAGAATATACGGCCAAGGTTCCTTATGCCTCGGCTATTGGAAGTTTGATGTATGCAATGGTTTGTACAAGACCAGATATTGGACATGCAGTGGGAGTTGTAAGCAGGTTTATGTCCAATCCAGGAAAAGTCCATTGGGAAGCTGTTAAATGGATTTTGAGGTATTTACGAGGTACAATTAATAAGTGTTTGTACTTTGGTAAAGGTGAATTGAAAATACAAGGTTACGTTGATGCAGACTTTGGCGGTGAAGTCGATAATAGAAAGAGCACAACGGGTTATGTATTTACAGTTGGAAATACAGCCGTAAGTTGGATGTCCCAACTACAAAAGATTGTTGCTTTATCCACTACAAAAAGCTGAGTATGTGGCAGTGACCGAAGCTAGTAAAGAGATGATATGGCTTCAAGGTTTGTTAGATGAGGTGGGGTTCAAACAAGTGAATAATATTTTGTATAGCGATAGTCAGAGTGCTATACATTTAGCAAAGAATTCGGCGTTTCACTCAAGAACAAAGCACATCGGTATTCGTTATCACTTTATCAGGTCTCTTCTAGAAGATGAAGTGTTAACTCTTAAAAAGATTCTTGGCAGTAAGAATCCAGCAGACATGTTAACGAAAACAGTGACGATTGACAAGTTGAAATTGTGCTCAACATCAATTGGTCTTAAAATGACAGAAGACTAGTTGAGGTTCTACTCCTTGGTGTGAAGACAGATTGAAATCAGTCTTCAACTTCTTCAAGTGTGAGATTGTTGGCAGATAATTAAGAAACATAAAGAAAGAAAATAAATGGTTATTAAATAACCATGCATTACCATTGAAAATTAAAGGTGTTTCCAAATATAGGGAAAAATAACTAATGGTAATAAATATTGAGGCTAAATTTTAAACTCTACTAACATGGTAATCGTTTGGGCGAGAAAACAACAGGGATTCAATCAACTCCCCGATTATGATGTCGCATTTAAATTTATAATTAGCATTACGACATTGATCATAAATAAATTTTTGCAATTTTTCAGTAACATCTCTAACAGGATCATATTCTTGATGAAGAGGCAAATCTAAATCATCAAAAATCTGGGATAATATGAGCTCATCCCAGGGTTTCATAGGATTACCAGGAAAGAAGTATTCCCTCAATTCCTCTCTATCAGCTATGTTCATATCTTTCAATACCTCTAATTCTGGAGGAAATTCATCCTTGTTCGACTTGGGAATCTGTTTTTTCTTGGACTGCAGAAGAATCTCCTTCTTGTGTAAGTGCATAAACTCCCGAAGAATCTCCTTCTTCTTGGAGTGCAACAACTTGCGAAGAATCTGTTTGCTTGAGCGCATACACTCTCGGAGAATCTCATCCTCCTTGGACTGCATAAACTCCCGAAGAATCGCCTTCAACTGCATTGGAACCTTCTTCTTCTTATGCTTCTTCTTCTTCAATGGTTCAGTAATCTCGTAATTGACATCCATAACTTAAACAATCACCTACAAAGTTTAAACCTTTCAGGCTTTCATAATCTAACTATAATAATATATAATATATCATTCAAAATTGTAAATCAAAATACTTACCCGACTCTGATTTCTGCAGCAATGGCTTTTCGACACTAGGGTTTGATTTTGTTGGGATTCTTGTGAATGGAATACGATTTTAAGTTTTTTTCAAGTTTGTTAAAAATAAAAACAGATAAATATATAATAAATGAAAATATGGTAAACTGTGCAATAGGGTTACCCGAGTTTCTCGATCAGGGTTCACTTGAGGTGTCGGGAATACTCGAGTTTCTCGGTCAGGGGTTACTCGAGTTTTTTTTATGTCGGGATTATTTTCGGCTAGGTTAGAGGTGGGGGAAAGAATTTGGGTTTTTTTAATGTTTTTTTTTCTTAATTTCAGACCAATTACGTGTTGACACATGGCTATTAAATAATAATAAGAAACTCTAACAACAGGTTAGCGATCATTGGAGACAAACTCATAGGCTCAAGCATTCTTGAGATTATTTTTTTATTTTTTTTTATTTTTTTTTTGAGATTATTAGATAATCAACCTTACTTTAGTTGGAATTATTAGAAGTAAATCACTCATAGTTGAAATTATTAAAGTATATTTTTCCTAAGTTGTATAGTATTATTTAGGCTATATACTACGGAGTCTAAATACGGAGTAACAATTTTGATATAAATACTGAATGGTAAAAAAAAATATTTACCCAATCCTACGTGAATAGTATAACCATCCTATCTACACTTCCATCAATCGATGGTAAGCTTTGACGACAGTATACCATCACTACAAAAGTAGCTGCTCACAGGAAACATAAGGTGCTAGTATTGTGCGCAATGCGGGAGCAAGCAAAACTGTTGCATACTAATTTTTACATCAAAAACAAAAAAAAAAAAATGATCGCAATAAGAACTAAAAAAGCAACAAGAGGTTCAGCAAAATAGCAGTTTCATTGCACAAGAGTTAACTAACAAAAGCAACAAGAGGTCCAGCAAAATAACAGTTTCATTGCACACGAGTTTTCTAAAACAAGCTCTAGTAAAGCCGTAAGTGAGGGTAGTCTCGTCCTACAAAAAAATGATAAAAGAAATAAAAAATAATTGGTGATACAGGAGCATATGAATCCATAAATAAGATGTAGAGCAAATTATTGAAGGGTTACTACAATTACCACCTTCTTCGGATTTTAATGGTTCATAACAAGGATACGATCTTGTATATCTGAGAATGACTTGACATCCTTTCCCCATAACCTGCAAATTTACTTTGATATTAAGCACTCATATCAAGATTAGCATCACCATTATCAATGAACAACCACCCAAATTTATCTTGTGAAAGAATTATTAAGTTCACAGATGATAGATGCTTTAAGGAGCAGGATTCAGAAAACGCTGAACAAAATTTTCTTGTTTTGCAGGGAAAAGAAAATGGGAAGGCAGTTAGTCTTCAACGACTATTTGGATAGACAAAAGTAAAGCAATATTTCATATAAACTATAAAGTTTAACTTATATGCTAATAAAGATATAGGTTGATAAAAAAGAATATCTAATAATGTTCCCCTTCATCCAAAATATTCAATACGACCTTTATACTCTGTAGAAAAGAACAAGCCACGCAAGAAAAATACAGCAGATCAAACATTAATCTGAGAAGCTAACAATTCCTTTGTATGAATCATTTTTTGTGAAACTATTCCACAAGCAAGGCAGCTGAATACATATAATCAAGATTAACTCACCAACAATCGATTCCAACTGCATTGGCTCCACTCTTATCAGCCTGTTCGTCATCCCCTACATGAACCGCTTTCTCAGCATCAACACCAATCTGATCTAAAATATTACAAAAAGGTCCAAGTTAGAATCCCTTTCCATGCACATTTACGTAATAATATAGCAAAGTACGCCAATCTAATTCATTGAACAACATGATTGCTGTAGGACCAATGTTCTTCATTCTTCAAGATCCATAATCACTGAAGTATTATTGGAAGTGTCAACTGCAAAGATTTCTCCCCATATAGTAAACCATGAGTCTATGTATTTAGATAACATATATCAAGTCATAACTTATAACCAGCTTGAAAATGCAGTCACAGGAAGGACAGAGGCAAATTTTTGAAGGTTCTTTTATTCCCATCAATTCTGAAAGTTGAGATCGATCTTCTACCAATTTGAAGCATACACTAGAACAGAGCTACAAAAGTTCATTCCAGCGTTTCTCAGGCAATTAAATTGTTCATGGGAACCAAATAGGGAATGAGATTCCAAGGTTCACTGCTGAGAGGTGGGGCTAAAAAAGCCAACATGACAATGACTCTGCAACATTCTAAATTTGGGCCCTTAATTCATTGCTTCAGAGACGCACACGATATTTACTGACAACAAAATTTATTAATTTAACAATTTTATGATAGAACTGAAGATTAAACTAGTAGGATTAAAAGTAATCACAAAACCCAACAATTTAACCATTGATCCACAGATTTTTTTTCTTCATATACTGTGATGAAATGCCAGATTTGGGCCCCCTTATTTTCAGGGGGCCTGTGCAATCACTCACGCTCAGAACTGCCCCTGCTGATGACTAATTGACTAGGTATTATATGAGGCAATAGAAAATGAAGGTTGCAACGTGTCAAAGAAGTCTAATGAGCTCTAGTCGATTTTTTCCATGACATGTGCACCAAAAATAAGGTATATGGCCTACATGCTCAAGCAGGACTTGCAGGAGGGATGGTGAAGACAATAAAACATGCAACATGAATTATCAATTTATGGAAAGGACACAATTTGATTTATGCTTATCACAAACTTCATTGGAGAACCAGATATAAAAGAATAATCATGCTGGCATAGTATACCTAAAGCAGCATTGAATATCCGTGCATCTGGTTTTTCAGATCCAACCTCGGAAGATACCAAGACAGCATGAAACCTATATAAAAATCAGGAAACCCACTGTCAATATCCAAGTGGGGGGAGTTCAAAAAAAATTCCAGCAGAAGTAGACAAATCCACAACAAAACCAAAGAGGGGAGAGGAATAAAAATATGAATCAGATATCTGTTAACAATTGGTCTGGAGAAACAGCTAGCCTTGCAAAGTAAGTGTAGTTAGAAGTATAGTACGAAAACCACAGAGAATGGAACACTGTCACATACAAATCTAAGACTTCGAGTTCCTTCAATAGCTTCCTTAACCTGGTGTCAAAGTTTGATACAACTGCCAACTTAACTGCAATAAGCATGGTAATGTAAGAGATAAATAGTTAAGTCAAAAACAAATTTTTACTCCTTATTTGTAGCAAATTTGAGGAAAATACTTGATGATTATGACAATGACCTCCAGCATTTTTAAGGCACAGCAATGTCTCTAGGGCCCCATCTGGAAGATGCCAAGCTTGACCATTTGCATAATACTGAGGGGTAAAACTAACTACTATTATATCAACATATTCCGAAACAATCATAGCTAGCTCTGATGTTTAGGCTAATAAGTAATAACCTCGTAAACTTCATTAAAGTAGCTATCATCAGCACAACCAGTAGCTTCAGAAACAACAAGCTTCCAGAATGGTCTTCCATCACCCTGTTAATAATGCACATTGAGAAAAAAAATGTATAGCTTGTATAAGCTTTATTTTCAAAAATCTGTTCAAAAAACAGTTAAATGGCATAAAAATCATCAGAACACATTTAGCAGTGATCCAAGTAAAATTGACCACCTACTTCCAAGATAATATGATGTATGATCATTAATATCTTTTTTTAAGTATTTTTTCTTATGCAGGCTCTATCATCTCTTACCAGTGATAAAATGTGAGCTGGCTGGACAATATTTTTTTTAAAACTTGCAGGCCTGCAAGTGGTTTTGGGACAGGCCAGATGGTCAAGCCTACACTCTAAATAACATCTTCAAATCTCTTCTATAAAGTTATCCACTTAACCCATCAACAAACAAATCTGAATTCATCAAATAATAATACTAATCCCTTGTACAATTAAAAAGAAACCGAAAGAAATATTAGAAGAAAAAAAAAATACCATTCTCGTGCATAATCAATCTACACCCAAATGGGAGACATCACTGCTAGCTTCACTTCTAGAGAAAAGATCTTAGGAACAACTAGTAGACAATATACAAAAATAAATATCACACTATAGATCCAACAAATGCTAACATAGTCATAGTTACATAAAATATAAGAATTTCTGTTTTGGATTACCAATAACTGCCCAGTAAAAAGCTAATTGTTCAATTGAATAATGGTATTTTTATTCATTTGGATGGACTTGTCTTCAAGTTTACATTTGAAACTTTGAAGGAAGAACAGACGCCATTGCTCCCATTAATCATGTGATTATAAGAGCATTTTGCAGATATTCAAGATTCAAGTTTACCTGGTAGCGAAGTTTCTCAGGCCATGGAGCAGAAAAGGCTCTCTTGAATCCTTGCTTTATTTCAGGTGGAGTTGCACTTAACCCTGAGTATTGCATCATATCAATTCATATTATAAAATATTGACACATAAAAGACATGAATCATGAAACCATACTTTTTGATGATCACAAGAAAAGATCCTAAAAAAAAAAGGAATAACAACCAAACAGAAGGTAGAAGGGACACTAAAAACTAACTCCAGGAAGCTCTTCTTTTAAACCAACTAAATAATCAATATTTTTATTGAATTTATTTCTTCAGTTCCTCCTGCTATAACCAAGTCAATAATTCAACCCACTTTCTATTTTTTTACTGTTCAATTACATGAAACCCTTCGATCTGCTAGAGTACTTCCCTATTCTCTGGATATTTCCCTCTTACTGTCAGTATTTTATCGTGCTTACATTGACTCTAATCACATTCTTATAACAGTTTTTAAAAGCCTTAGAAAAGATGTAGTATCATCCATTATGGTGTATGGCCGAAGATACACCATGTGGAGTTGAATGAAATGGTTCTAATTGATTCTTATTATAGTTGCAAATTTCAATTGTGTATGGTAATATAAAAATTCCTGATTATAAATCAAAATAATAGGCTTTGTACACCACTTTCTTGTCCTCCATTTGCTTCCTTTTGTGGATTGAGCTCTCTATATTCATTATCCATCAATCTTTCAAACACACAACGAAGTGAATGAACACATGATGAACTATCCACTGAAGTATCTTATTGACATAATAAAACGTGGAATCATTTGTCACATCTGTAACCCCTCATAATTAAGATCATAACATGTTTTCACTTCCAGCAAAACCCAAGATGATGCTCAATGATGATTTTAATGTAATTCCCTTGCTTAGACACTTGAGTGATGAGTAGAATTGTAGAAGTTTCTCTTAGAAAATTGGATTTAAGGATTTGGATTTCCAAAGGAGCAATTTGGATTAAATGAGTTTAGATTTCTTAAGTAGAAAGTGGTGCAACATTAAGCGAACCGCAAGATGAGATTGAGTTGGATTAATGACTAAGAGTTGTCTAGCTCTAGAGCATCTCTTGTAATTGATCCAACTCAATTTCGAATTTTCCTCTTGCAGTTCATTTGATGTTGCACCACTTGTTATTGCCCTCCAATCTCTTGTTTTAGTCTTTACTGCCTTTTCAAGTTCAATGTTCAAGGGAAAAGAGATAGAGCTCTCTTTGTCAAATGGCGCCGTGGAAATTGGTGTCCCATCCCTATATTAAAGTGATGGCAAATTGTGTAACCTATTCAAGTTATAACTCCTTACAATATTCGAAAATGTGACAACTTTTTCCGAACATCAAAAGGGGTAAAGTGATTCTTATTTCCGGATCAAGAGGTTGTTTAAAACTATATGCAAACAAACCACATTGGAAAAATGATTTTCCCATTTCATAATCTGAACATAGCTTGTCCATAAAAACAAACAAAACCACAAAAAAATGCAAAGGTTGAATTTTCACAAACTTACCATATTTCTTGCCAATTTTAGCATAAGTCTGTTCAACAGGCTCTGAAAGCTGCAAAAGTGTACCCCCAGCATCCAACAACAACCCATCATATGCTTTCATCTTCACTGAATTTCTATTCTCTGCAATTTCAAAACCCATTTTAGATTAGTTAATCAAGACCCTAATTAACCCCTAAAATTGGCAAATTGACATGAAATTAAAATTGGGAAATTGCAAAATTGATGACTTTAAAAACCCACCTGTATGAATAGCCATAGCTGAAGATCGAAGGCAAAAAGAAGGAAATTTGGAGATATTTTTGGGAAGAAGACGATTAAATTTGAGGGAGTTAAAACTGGAGCATCGGATCAAAGTTGCCTCCATTATAATTTATAATTATAAAGTTGAATGAAGATTGTATGTCATACTAACCAAGGTTGTTGAACCAAAATGAAGGGTTGTGAGAGTAGAAAGAGAAGGATGAAGGAAAAAAGAAAGACATTCATTCCCAAAAAGAAGTATATTGCAAGCCAGAGCAGCAGCACCTTTGCCTCGTACTCAACCATGGCTAAGGTTGCTCTGTCACCTTCTAAGGCCACTCAAAAGGCTAATAGGTGTAAGTGGGTTTGTTTCGGGTTTAACGACAAGGTGTTTGATAACTAGCCTTTTTTTTTTTAGCTAGTTATCAAACACCTTGTCGTTTAACTAGCTTATTTGACTAATATTAGTTTATTGATTATTAAATAAGTTAATTCAAGCTATTTGGTGGGAAGCTTATTGAAAAAACTTATTCCACTAAATAAGCTCTTTTTCAAAAACTCTTATTATGAGCTTTTTCAGTTACCTTATTCAATTTTTACAGTGAAACGACACTTATATCCCCATTTAATTTAAAATCTTATATGAACTACCTACCTCACAATTAGCTTATTGGTCATTTCACATAATCAATTAGCTTTAAGCAATCATTTATTTACTAAACACTTATATACAATCAGCTAACAAAATAAGTTAGTCAAATCAGTTAATATAATCAACTATTTAAATTCAACTAACACAACCAGTTTCAACTTTTCCCCAAACACGACCTTATTAACAAATTAACAAGATTATTAACGAGTGAACTTCAAAGAAATAATATAATCAGCTAGTTAATATAATCATAGTTAAATTCAGTTAATACAATCAGCTAGTTAAAAGAGATTATAAACAAGTGAACTTCAAAGAAATAATAATATCAAATTAAATTGTGAATGTTAAGTTCATGAACTATTCACAATATGTAATATGGATTACTTGTCTATACAACCTTAGTCCTTATTGTGTTGCATAATTAAATGGTGATGTCAAATTACTATTTCTTTTTTTTAATAATTAAATTCCACTTTACTACTTAGGTTGTAACAAACATCATTAGTTTGTTATCGTCTAGAAGGGAGAAATTGTTGAGTATTGAAGATTTGATGGTTATAAACTAATGACGATAAGTCGATAATCAATCAAACATGTGTGTTAAGATGTCCATGGGAAGAAAGTTTGATTCCAGAGATTAGGTTCAAGAGCAATTAATTAGAATGTGCTGATACCCTCTTGAACTCCTGAACTTTGCAAGCATACCTGTGTTCAAACCCTTACAAAAGTAGTTCATAGACTTCATACCTTGTAATACTACTGAAAATGAAACATGAAGATGTGTATAACAAACAAAAGTTCAGTTCAAATGCTAATCATACATTTCGTTTTCATTTGCTATAAATATTTACCTAAGAAGTTAGTTTACAGCACCAAAAACCCTTTAACTGCTTGTTCTTATTCCCACCTATACATTTATATTTTGAGTACCATACACAAAGTAAACTGATACTCAACAAAATAATGTTATTTAAAAAAAAAAAAAAAAAATCCACATCCAAAAATCACACTATTGAAAAACAAATATGACAGTAAAGACTGTAAGAAAATATTTGAATAAAATAGTATGTACAAAGTATATGACATATCAAAGAATTCCAGGGAATGTTATGTTTTACTAGGACTGTGTTATGTTTTACTAGGACTGTTTTTCTGTTCAGCTATACGTAGCGTTTCTCTAGCCATGGATGAAAATGTTTGAGCGTTATCCTGCATCTCTGTGGTTCTCAAGTTGATACCCTGGATATATCAATAATAAGTTCAGTAACATTATAAAAGTTAGATCAAAGACTCAAAGATCACATCGTAGATGCATAGATAAATATACATTATACTTCTACCTTTTCTTGATTGAAAAAAATGTAGTACACTTGTATACTGCAATTAACAAATCCAGTTTTGTTGTGACCGAAAATTACTGTCGAGATTTCAAAACTGAGACTCATAGGAGGCTACTAGGCTAGAACCTGCTGACACGACTCAAGGGTACTTAAAAGGGTTGCTCTTATAATGTGAAATTGCCTCGACTTTCAAACAAAACAGTACATGTTTTTTGGGCAAATTAGAAGTCTTAGAGCATGGAGTTACAGTTGGTTACATTTCGGTTAAAACTTGAAACCATGGTGTCAAAAGCCAACTGTTATTTTTCATTCAGTGCTTCCAAATTTTCAGTTTTACTAAACACGGTTGAAATGATTAATAACAGAAAATGTAGCTGTAATACAGTTCTCAGACTCAATTTCATATTTCAGTCCATAACAGTCCATACCTGTAGTTTCTTAACATTCTCAGTAAGCTTGTTTTCAATCATTTTGGCAACACCAACTGGTTCCTGAAATCAGAAATGTGCATTAGTATCATCAGATAAGGATGCCCTAGCTTCTATCCCAGCAAAAATCCCGTGAAACAAGAGAGAAAAATGATCAACGGTGATGTCTAAATCCACAATAATAAACATCACTTGTATGCTGATACGGATCATTAAGCAAACTCATTATAAACACAATTAATTTCAGAAGCACGACACTGCATACTTGACTATGACAAATGAGAACTTTTGAAACTTCTATCACGTAGCAGTAATGTTGCGGTACACCTAATTCAAAGAGTAGATAATAGATTAATAGTTGAGAACAATTATTTCATAAGTGGCTCTAGTGGTATATAATAAAGCAAATGTCAACTATAGTTGATTCTCCCAAAGTCGACTCTCAGCTAGCCCCAAAAGTACAATATGCTACTTACTAAAATAGCTTTGATTAAAATCATTTAGACCACTTTGATCAAACAAAACCCAAAGGAGCAGTACCTATATATAATCTATTGAATCAATTCATTTCAAAAAAAGGATATTTATACATTTTATATAAAACAGTTAAACTCTATTGTCTAGCACCATGCAATACATATAATGAGGAAAAAAAGGTTGGATTCTTACATTACTGGTATTAGCTGATGAAAATCCATATCTCTTCTTAATTTGATCAACTGTCTCGACCTTCTCAGATTGTGGCTCTTCATGCGCTGAAGGTTTTTCATTCTTATTTGTCATTTGCTTCAGTTTCCCTGGAAATGGCAGTTTATAATGGGAATAGAATTCATTAGCTACATAAACACACCTGCAATTAAATATGCTTAGGTAGTGGATACTGTTACATTTATCAGGAAACAAGACAGAATTTTTTTCAATATGATAATGATACTGGCTAATATATAATTAATTCAAATTACCCTACATGAGAATATAGCTAAAAATCGTGAGGCTACGGAGCCATTACAGCTCAATACACATGGTTTTTATGCTAGACAAAAAACCTGCTCACCACATGAAGTAACATACACTTGTTACGAACTTAAATACTGCTTCCATAGGTATTATTCTGTTTATACGAATATATTTGTAACTATATTAGGTTTGCTCTAGGACTCTTGTAATACGAGGTAATACACAACTCATAACCAGCGTACTACTACATTCTAACATGGTGTCACAGCCTGGACTAAAACCTTAAAATTCCCCTCTTTCTCTTCCCTCTAGCCATTCACCACCCTCTCCCATCTCTTCTGCTACTAATTCACTATGGGCAAGGATGATGAAATCCCCCTCTCTTACTCTTTCTTCTAACACTTTCATCCCAATCTAATTAGTAGAATCCATCTAAGTAACGCTAAAAGATCAATGTGCTGACCTTTAAATGTATTGAACTTGCTTGCAAATTTCTGCTTATTAAGCAATCCCATCACATTGTTCCCTTTTGGCTTGTCATCCTGATCATCAATATCAATGTCGTCTGCAAAAAGATTCAAGTTCCTTCATGTATAGAGAAAGAGACTTATAAAAAGGGCTCTAGAAGGCCCGAGATTGATATGAATGACATTCAACATTTGATACCAAGAAGACAAACACTTAAAGCATAGCATGCCTTACCAATGTCCAAGTCATCATTGTCTTTTTCAACTGTGACATTAGCAGAAGTTTCCTCTTGAGTAGGGAAATTGGAAACTGCAAAGTTCTTTGAGAGGTCTTCAGAAATTGCTTTCCCATCTGTAACTTCAGTATCAGCTCCATGGTTTGTTTTACTTCCGGCTACATCTTTGAATATAGTGCCAAACATCCCCTATTACGTATAAGAAAAAGGAGAACATTCTGTCATAATTCATAATACTTCACTGGAATTGGAATCCAGAAGCACTCTAATGCTATTACCTTTTTCTTTTGGACTGAAGGTGAAGTTGCTCCATCTTCCATTATTGAAAGGTTTTTATCATATACTCGAGAAAGAGAGTCCAAGTGTCTAGTACAATCAAAGGAGCAAGTCAATACATAACCATCAAGATCCTTTTAAAGTCAATCCTCATTTTGTAAATTTTCTTTGCAAATAATTCATTTAATCAGCTTCAGTAATAACTTGTCACTACACGTAAAAATGAGTACATTTACAAGACAACAGTGATAATATTCAGATTCCTGTCATGAGACTTCAAGCTATAAGATGTTTCAAATCGTAATTAATAGCTTTCAAACTTGATCAAGATCAGTATTCATCTTTCAATTACTTAACCATTTCGAGGCACGATCTAAGAAAGTAAATATTGCAATATCTTAAATACATTACTATCATTCTCCAAAAATAGAAATCATATTGCATTAGTACCACATTGTTCCCTTTTGGCTTATCATCCTGATCATCAAGATATGTGCATCTCATTACTATCATGAACATTACTATCATTCACCAAGAGGATATGTGCATCTCAGTATATTTTTTTTGGATATGTGCATCTAATTATATATATTTTTTTTTTTAAAAGTTTATATTGCATTAGGTGGAGTCGTGGAGAAGCAATTAGAAAAGCAAGAACATACCTATACTTTCCATTTTGAAGAAACATTGAAGCCAAAGCAACTTCTTGATCACTCCTCATCTGAATAAATTACAAAACCAAGTAGTTGGTATAAACACTACTCGAGAAGCACAAATAAGAAAAAATTTCTAAGCACTATACCATTATAACTTCTCCATCTGCAGAAGAGCATATGGAGTAGTCAGGCAGTGTGTTTGGCTTCAAGGGCGAGCATATGAAACTTCTTAGTGTAGTTTCTTTCACAAGAGATAAATCTGGAAGCGACCTACAATTTCATAGGGAAACACTTTAATGACAATCTATAACTTCTACCCTATTTTTTACTGGTACTTTTTTGCAAGTTAAACATGTAATTTTGCATACACATAGGAGGCAATAAGCAGATAATAATTGTAAGATACAATGACTTGAAAATTTGAGTACTGCACAATTATGTAAAACATTTGAATGCTTGTAGAAATGGCATTGTCCAAAATTAACTACAAAACAATTCAAAGTTTTCGAACTCGATTTTAAGTTCCTAATGAGGCTGCAACCATTAAAACTTTTAAGTATTTTTACTTAAAATGCCATCATGACCATTATCATACACAACATATGAAGTAGTTAAAAATACAGAACATCATCATAATATGTTTGTATGGTTAGCAATAATGATAATGTTTTTTTTTTTTTTTTATGTCAATGATAATGTTATACGGAGTATTTCGTAGTACTGAAGAGGCAAATCAAGATTTTACCAACCGTATTTCAATTTTTCCGCATGAAAAGAATAGTACAAGTCCTGTGCTAGAGGTACTGCATATTGTAGATGCCCAGTAGCAGGACGATGAATTAAACTTCTTTTTGTACAAAACCTTCTTAACCCCCTGAACTATGTGTGGTAAGGAATAAATATATACGGCCTTCTCGGAACAAAGCAACAGCTGATGCTTTTGTGCAGTTTCCTCTGTAGAAGATCCTCTGCTTGCTTCTGCTACATTCATTTGGTTCATAACTCCACTTTAAACTCTTGTAATCTCAAATAAAACCAAACGACTAAAAGAATAAATAAGAGATTTGAGTTACCTAAAGTCTGCATAAACAGAGCTTTGGATGGTTTCTTAGGGTGCACTACACTACTGCTCAGTGTATTTCCAGTATCAGCATCAATTGCCAATAAAGATGAGTCCTTCGTTGCGATGACCAATACATTCTTTTCAAAACCATGAAGAGCAGATGATTCAAACTTCACAGATATAACATCAGAAGACAGTTCAGTTCCAATTTTTTTCTGATGCAACATGGAGGAACCCTCTACATTAATGACTGAAACCTACAAAGACAGTAATCCAAAACCGGTAAGATGAGTATTTGTTCGCAATGGCTTTTCAATTACTGTCTGTCTGAATTAAGAAGTGGTAACATAGAGACAAATCTATCACATTTTTTTCTCTGGTTCCTCTCAAAAGATTCCTCATGACATTGTTTTCTCTCAAAAGCTCCCTCAAAAGGTTTTTCTAACAGAAGCAAGCATGACATTGCAAGTATACATACATGCTAATTAATTTTAACTCATTATTTTTTATACAAAATTACTTAAATATGAGGATCCCTTGATGAAATAAGAATATACTCATTCTACAACTCAAACAACAGGCGATATTCATCAACAGAGCTATATTTAAGAAAAATAACTGTAATCTTCAACCTTTATTAAAAAAATTTCATTCACTAATACTTGTATAAGATTTTGAATGAGTTTTACTATTTTAGTTCATAGATCCAAAGGTTCCAAGGATGTGGATGCTAACAACTCCCTAGCATACTTATGTTGAAGCATTTTTTTTTCAAGACATAGCTTATTGGTTTAGGAGAAATTATCCTTGTCAAGTTGTCATAGTTCGAATCAAATAGATAGTAGGGAAGGATACAATCTACAGATCTATGTTATTGAACAGATATAGAAGTTTATGCTAATCCTCTCTCTATATGAAAAACAATATGAGTATATGACTCCCAAAAACAGGCAGCTGGAGGCTAAGATTGGAGAAAGTTCACCCAGATTTTATCGTATTAACATATGTCCTAAGCCAGTCTGCAATATTTCCTATTTCATGTAGTTCTTCTCTAGTACCTAAAATTAAAAAAGAAATAGAGCAGAAGACGAAAAGCTAGAATTATAAGGGTAATAAGAAAAAAATATAACTTACATGTCCTTGTTCAGATCCCACTGCCAGATATCTCGAGCTGTTATATAAGTGGAAAGAGAGTACAGATCCATTGACTTTTATAAACTTCACACTATGAATGACATGACTGTTTCCTTTCTTTGAACTTCCTGAAGTAGATAACATATTAGAAAACTCAGTCAAGTGCATCATGTATACAATATGAAGTTGATTTTCTTGCCAGGTTACATCTCTTCCAAAAAAATTGAAAAACTACAAGGGAGCCCAATACTGCATCTAATGTAAGGCAACCTTTTTAAATTTAAATATTGATTTTCACCAATGCAACCGAGATGTCACATATGAAAAATAAGCTACAATTCACATAAAACCTTTCTAATAGATTAGCACTGGCATGTTAAACAACCTAAAAGTCTCTCTGGTTTATCCTCTACAAATCACAAGCATTTGAGAGTTCATGCATCCATCTTCCAACCATATGAGTAAAATCCTCAGCTTTATGTCTTTATATGAAGCATTAGGTGATACACTATCTACATCTTTACAAAATGGGAGAGAGACCAATTGCAAAATCAGGCACAACTTTCCGACATAATAATCCACCATGGACAAAGATGGCTCTAAGACCAATCAAAAACAGCTAGCCAGCATATAACTTTTACTACATTTCCACTATGATAATAAACCGCAAGCAGGTCCTAATGAGTTTCAATTAGGAGAAAAATCCGTTGTTAAGAGTTAATTCAGATTGACCAAATGCAGCACTTTACCCTGATAGAACTTTATACAAATGATCATGCTGATAGAACTTACCTGATAAAGAGAAAAACCCAGTCTCAGTGGAAAATGGTTCAGACTTCATTTGATAGATACGGACCTGTATAGCACATAAAGTTTGAAATGAGCAAAGGAAGAAAAATCCAACAACCAATTGACATCTCTGAAAAGACTGCATAACTACCATTCCACTTTTGTCTCCAGAAATGAGAAGCCGTGATGCAGAACAGTAATGAATTGCTGTTACTGCTACGCCACTTTGAGACGAATCATCCTCATTCTACAAATGGCACAAAGATAAAAAGTCAGGATGCTGTAAGGCTGGCTGATAGCCATTTAAAATTCTAATAATGCCATAATTTCCAAAGGCTAATTTATAATGATTTTTAACCATGTAGGAAAGTTTATTATGATCACACAAAAGGCCAAAAGAAATTTAACATGTAAGAATTCCTGATGTTGAAAAGGTCATATATAGTGAATTAAGAATTTCAATCAATAAATAAAAATGAGTTCCTTCTTGCCTTTTAGGCTCTAAAAAAATTGTCTAGTTATCTTTATCCATTCATTAAAATTCATTTGTAGTTTCGGACCCAATATTTCTTGTAAGTGTGATTAGTCTCCCCTGCTAATCGGGATGTGGGGCTGGGGCAGTTAAGTTTTACCCGGTTGCTAGAATCACTACTCTCAAACTCAGAAGCTTAACCCTCCTCCACACCCCAACCCTGGAGAAGCATATTACAAGGTTATACGATTAGATTTTCTGCTTATCTAGAAATTACAAGGTTAGCTGCATCATTACAATTTATAAACAACACGATTAGATTTTTTGTGTGGTTAATTAGCTTAGCATTCTGCATTCCACAAGGAATCAAGGATAAACGATATCCAGCAATGCTCTAACATTAATGTTCACTAAATTTGTAACTTAATGCAGTAAACCTCGAAACATATCAATACCTGTTGTGTTAACGATAGAAGTGGGATTAAGAGAGGACATGTAACATCCCAAAAATTGATGGTTCCATCACTATGCCCTGTGATATACAAGTTTTTAATCTTTGCAAAACCAGTAAAGTGAGGTGAACTGGTGTTCTTTGCTTCAGAAGGAAGAACTGATGGAAAATTTTTCACAACTGACATGTAGTCCTGCATAATGGTTACAATACATTATATAGCAATGAAAAAGAAAGAACCACATCAAGAACTAAATGGAGGTATTATTACCTCTTCATAATCTATATTGTTGGATTGATTTGTGATAAATTGAGCAGCAGTAGTGGTTGAAGCTGATATTGGAAGCTTTATCATCAGTTCGTTTGGCAGTGATGCTGATGGTTTTGATTGAGATTGCAACAAACACTTCTCAATAGAATGATCGTCATAGGCATACATAAGACCAGATTTTCCAAGCAAAATAAGAAACTTCTGCTTATGTTTGCTTTGTTCATTTGAGCGAGAGATAATTTCTATATCAAGACATGATTCAGGCAGCTGAAGCCCCACTTTAATTGTCCGAGATTCGGTGTCTTCATTCAACAAGACCACCTGCAACACCAAAGTTCAATTCCAAAATACTTTACAGTTTGATCTTGTCAATCCAATTAATTTAAAAGCACAACCATCAACATGAACGTAAATTTTGATAAAATTAGACAATATTGATCCAAATACCTGAACCAAGTTTGGGGATGCAGCATCAGAGGCGCCAGTAACATATAATCGATTAGGTTTCCCATCTGAATAAACCCACTTTAATGATGCAATAGGAATTTTTTCCAATCTGTATACTAGATTGATCTTAGAAGTTTGAACAATTTGGGTATTGCTGGTGTCTCTACTCACCAAAGACCCATTGCTTATGTCAGAATTTGAAGGGATGCTATGAATTAATATATCCCCAGTGTCGTACCCAACAGAAACTTTACTGCCGAAGGGGCATACCCAGCATGCAGAAGTTACTCTCTTAGTTTCCTGAGAGGACATTAGAGTCATCGCTCCACTACCACCCATTGTGGAAACAGCTTTGCTTTCTTGGATTGCCCACAGCGTGATCAATCCATCAGCAAATATAATCAGAATCCTTCAGTTGGAACAGAGAAGATGCAAGAAGTGATGAGAGTCTAATGATAAACACGTAATGTGGTAGAAAGAAGAACATAACATAGATACACTACCTCCTGCTTTCTGCTGTTGGTTGAGGCAATATATACTTTACAGCATAATCAGCTGAATTCTTATCGGGATATGCTGAAAGGAAAAAGTTTTTTGCATAGATGTAAGCATTAATCACCCTTAAAACACATACAGACGTTCACATTGAAAGAAAGAGGGAATCAAAAGTATTATCAGAGCACAATAAACAAGATGGGAACCTATGTATCCTTGCTAATAAGTTGCAAAAATGTACTATGTATGACTTCACCAACTTGAATAGCTTTAACATATTTCTTTCAAACTTTTGCCACTAACAAAGAGAGATAAGTCATGCACTAGAAGAGATACACTAATCAATTTCTAAATCAGCTACTAATAAAGTTGAGGACTCTCTTAGAGCAAGCATCGATGAATGATTCTTATCTCTTTAGAGTCAGAACATAGCACCATCAGCATGAGACTACAAACAAAGGGGAAGTGGTGTGCACGTGGAATTTGAAAGTAGACAGCAGCCATACAAGCACTCATATCATATCTTCCCTCCCAAAAAAACCCAAGACATGAGATTGACAATAGATTGTAAAATCATAATCAATCAAAATTCGGAAATTCTATGACTAAATCACTAAATCATAGCACAGAATAACAGCTCCACCTTCAGCAAAGATTACTAAGGTCAATAGCATAGAAATAAAAAAAATCAATAACTGACCATGTGAAGCTGAAAAGGGGATCCAATACTTCATTTTTTCTATCTGGCCCAATTCATTATCAAGCTTCCACACCGTGACATTACCAGCACGATCTCCTATAAATCTGCCATTGCAAAGAAATATATTTTACCAATGTTGTCTTAGTTCAGCAATTTTGAGCTAGGAGTTTGGTTACATATTGTTCCAAGATACGAGAATTCATATAATTTCCATAAATATACAATAATGAAATACTTACATGAAGGAACTCAGCTGCATTACTGACATAGATGTGATCTCTTCATCGAAATTATGTACATGAGACAAAATCTTCTTATCTATGTCCCAAACCTAGTTATGAGTCATGCCAAACAGTGAAATATAGTGCAAAGATAATTAGGAAAATAAAAAAATAAGTTAAGGAAAAAAAAAAAAAAAAGGATACAATTCAGCTACCTCAATTTGGTCATTAGATGTTACATTCAACAGAATACCTTGGTTGTGAATGAACTACAAATTAAAACATCCTTAGGTTAGCTACAATTCAGTGCCAAGTTTTAGTAAATGATATCGCAGCAAAGTGGTGCAAAAATGAGCACCAAGATAAAGTGAGGGGTTTCGGTAGCAGAGTTACAAGAACCTGCAAAAATTTGCTGGGCTGAACATCATTGGACTCCAACAGGGCTTGAGTGTTATCTTTTCCCAACAATTTAATCTGCCCATTCCTATAGGAAAGAAACAAGACCGTTAAAATCATAGGATTAAACCAAGTCTATGATAATTGAAGTAATCTTCACATGAATTGTTGATCTACATTGACAGAACATCTTGTAAACTAGTAATAAGTTAGGCTCAAGATTTCATTTAGTGATTGATAACCAAGTGAGATTCATCAGCATCTTGTTGCACAGGTATACTGATTCATACTGATGCGAAGCAGTCTGCTACTAGTATTAAAAATTGGGTTTATATACTCTAGCAACAGTCCATGAATATGAATCAGACTACAGTTAATTTCTTCAGTTATTCAGTACTACAGATACGATTATGCAAAACCACATATAAAACACTGGCATTTAAGAAAATAAAGGGAGGAGCTACAAGGTACAAACATTGTTGCTACTGCAAGTATCTTTTGTATTGGATCATATGCAAACATAGCAGCTGAAGGTGGTAATCCATAATGGAAAGCTAGACGAGGATCAACATCTTCCGGTTTCAGACCATCTGAGTACTCCCCAGGCTGCATCATAATTCGAGCATTATCATTGTTAAAGTAGTCAAAATTAGCTAAATGCTTTCAAATCAAACATACAACAACATATACACAGAAATAATCTTTGACGCACGAAATTGACATGAAAGTCACATTTCCTGTTTCCAAAACATGGAATAAATCAAATAATAACAATCATAGCAAAAACACCTATTTGTTAACAATTTTTAATGAAAATAAACAGGACAATGTTAGACTCTTAAGCAACATCATAGGTTTATTGCTTTAATGAATTTACGCGCTTCTAAAAATTCATCATTCACATTATCAGGTTACAGCAACAAGTTCTCTGCAACATTACTGAACCAATTGTGGAGTAAACCTTATAATTCTTAAAATAAAATAAAATAATAATAATAATAATAAAAAATAAAAAAATAAAATGCTAATTGCAAACATTTTAATCAGTTGAACAATAATTAAAAACAAAGACATTTTCCTAAGAGCAAAAATTAATCAACACCATTTCAAATTTACGAACGATTGGATTTTTTTTTTAAAACCCCAGAAAAACCACACCACTAACTACAGTGTACTCCACAATACAGTCAGTCGGAAAATTTATAGCCACGTTGATAATGTAATTTAAACTAGTAACACGACAACTAAATGTCTAAATCTGATCCAAAAAAAAAAAAACTAACGATCATCGTCCAACTTATTAAAAAAAAACAACGATATAAGTTGATGCAAAAGGCAAAAATTCACAAACAAGTTAAAAAATTGAATGAAAATGAAACCAAAACAAATCATATCAACTAATTTGGTCAAATAAATTGCAAAGTACAGTAACATATAATCAATATAATATAGTTTACTCAAACTATTTTCCAAAAATAAAAATTAAATGGTTGTACAAACCTTCTTGGTTGCCTTTTCCACAAGCTTTTTAACAAACATTTTGAGAATTAATTCAACTCCAAAAAAAAACCAGGAAATTAGAGAAGAAGAAAAATGTTATTTTAGAGAGAGAAACAATTGTTTTAGAGAGAGAAATTATTGATTGATTGACGTCAGTTACATGTTTAAACTATAACAACGAGAAACTTGACTGTTCAGGGGAAAAACTGACATTCAATGGACCATTATTATTTATTTATTTATTTCTTCTTTAGTATTGGGATATGGTCGGTGGTTTTTTAAATATTTGGATTTTTAAAAAAAAATTTGGATCAAGTAATAATAAATCGTTAAAAAAAGATTGAATTGATTGACCCTTAATGATGATACACGTAAGTAAAGTGGGTGTGATTGATTTGCTTTAGTTGATGTCATTAGGACAAGGATTTGGAAGACTTTGAGCATATCATGCCATGTGTTGTGGTTTAAGAGAGAGTGACCACCTTAAACTTGTGTTATGCTTCTCTTATGATGAGGAGGATGAAAGTAATTTTGACAAAGGATAATTTGTCAATTACTACCGCAAGTTAATACCACTTTGTAAATTACTACCGCAAATTAAAAAAGTTGTGAATTATTACCGCAAAAAATTTTAAGATGTTGCGATTACTACCAAACCCCCATTAAACCCAACTATGACGTCATTATATCCCTTTAACCCGTGTTTGACCATGGTTAAGGGCTTTAACCAGCCCCCCCAAAAAAAAGAAAAAGAAAATGGATTAGGGATATAATGACGTCAAGGTGAAGGGCTTTAACCATGGGTTAAGTGATATAATGACGTCATAGTTGGGTTTAATGGGGGTTTGGTAGTAATCGCAACATCTTAAAATTTATTGCGGTAGTAATTCACAACTTTTTTAATTTGCGGTAATAATTTACAAAGTAGTATTAACTTGCAGTAGTAATTGGCAAATTTTTCTTTGACAAAATAAGGTTTTGGAGGTAGTTGTTAGCTAAGGTAATACTTGTACGGTAACTTAAAGCTACTCAAAAATTGAACACACCATACATTTCTACTCCATCGCATCCTGGTCGTTAATGCTTGTTTGGTTGATACTACTTATAATACATGTGATGTGGAAATTTTAAGGAAGTGGAATTGTGGAAAAATGAAAAGTTAATTAGAGTAAGAATTTAATGAGAAGTGTAATCATCCCTTACATCGTCATATTACAGAAATCAGAAAAGTAAATTTTGTCACCAAAACAATATTAACAAATCACTAAAGTATAAAAATTCTAGGTTCCCTAATAAAAATTTTGAAGAAGATACTAAACCTCTTATATAAGGGAAGGGGAGATTTTAGTATCAACCTAATTTAAAAACACAATAATACCTATCATGACCCAGATTAACATTAAAAATAATGATTTTGTAATTAATAAACATAATTAAGAGTAAAAATCATAATTATATATGGAAGCAAAACTAATTAACAATCTACCTTTCATTGAGATAATTCGAACGTGTACCCACAAACGATTCCTACAAGTACCCATAAGGACATAAGACTACATTTTCCCTTACATATAACTCATAAATATTGGTCAAAGGTCAAGTGAATAGTGCAAGGGCCTATGCCCTGTGTTCATAAAAAATACTACCTCCGGTTCATATTATGCAACTTTGGTAGATTATTAGTGAGATATAAAAAATTCCAAAGTTGCATATAATACGAACCGGAGGTAGTAGAACGAATATGTTCATAAGCCTCCTGCTTGTAAGCAAGGAAACAAGATAGTTTAGTTAAGATTGGCATCCTGGAAAATACTTCCCTCCACTCCAACTTAACACAACCACTTGAGGGAATAATAGAATGACCAAATGAACAGAATAACAATAATTTTTTTTAAAAAAAAAAGGGGCAAGAATAATATAAAATTCGTTTTCCCTAAAAGCGAACACTCGAAATAACCTATAAAAACATTATGCAACATAAACTCCCTTCAAGAAAGAGTACAATTGCATTATGGTAGCGATACAACCTTAAACAGAAGTCAATGTCAATGTACAACATTGATAAGATTGAATAAACTTTAAGCAACTATCACCAAGTTCGGCACCTTTCATAATTTAAGCATTATGGTGTACGACGTCCCACAATTGATAGCTTACAGCAAGCCAACAAATTGCAATGTGCGTACGCCATACAAAAGCAAACTATACAAATCAAAGCAGCTCTTAACATAATTGAAGCAGCAACATCTAGTCGAGAAAAGTAAACGACTTCCCATCAAAGATTAAGGGCAGTGAATCTTTTGATACGCACAAGGATTTTCAAGACAAAATGCGACTCCAAGTCAATTCTTCCACATTGCGTTTTGAAGTGGGTTGCCTTCATCAACTTCAGGGACAGGTCAATTATCCTGCCAAAAGTTCCTGATCAAGAAAGACCGGGGTATTTAAAAGGGATACCCAACATTGAAGGAAACCTTGTAAATCTGAGCCGAAGGAATTCAAGAGCAATTGGCTTACTATCAATTTGAAGTACATCAGTCAATTCCAGTTTTCAGCACTAAACATGAAAAACACTAGTGAATGCTAGAAAACTGATCCCTTAAGCAAGGTAGCGATACAACTTCCTGTCAACACTATCTCTTTCCAAAAATTCACGTTCTATGAGTGACTCAATACGCTTCTTAATCTCCACTGGGTTTGGCAGGAAACGAGACTGCAGCTGCTTTGTGACCTCAGCAATAATATTGTTATGATCTAGTACTTTCCTGGATTTCATAATTCTCACTATTGCAGCCTCAATCTGAGGCTTTCTATCCTCCTCCACCCTTTGTCTAGTTTCCTGTTTTTCAGGTTCTGATTCTTTCTGTGCAACTACTGTTCCTATCTTCACCTTGTAAAATTTGCTTGAGAACTTGTCATTGAACAAGAAATCATCGTTCTCACCAATATCCTTGCTCATGGGCTCTTTTCGAAGGACATTCTTTCCCTTGACACAAGCCAGTGATTGCAAACACCTCTTCAGCTCTGGGGCAGGAATCTCAGTCGCTTGTTCAATCTCCCGGTAGCTAAGTCTGTCAGCATTATTGAAAAGCATAAGTACACACATTTGGAAGGTTGAGACATTGAGCTCGTGCTTCTGACCCTTGCTGAAAGTTGCTTTTATATCAGCTGTACCCATATTAGTTTGCCAGGATAATCTTCGGCCAGTATGTGTTCCAAGATAGTACGAGCGGAATTTTTCACAGAGTAACGACAGCTCCGCAGGAAGGTTGCAGGGAATACTTGGTTGAGTGGGCCAGGACCCAGTTGTTAAAACCTGGACAACCAGAGTAGGTCCATCCCCTAGCTCAGCACCATGATTGGCGTAAAATCCTTGTATTGTATCCTGAGAAGTTTTCATATCTGTGAACATACCCTCTAGCTTGGAAGTAAACTGATAACCACATTCTGTCTTAAGCTTCACGATCAAGCTTCTCTCTGCATCATCAGACACAGTCTTTCCTGACAACAGTCTCTTAGCCAAGTGCTGTTTATAGTACTTCTCAAACACATCTTTCTCCTGCAGATATCTAAAAAGCATCATCACCTTATCTAGTACAACCTCCACATCCTCTTCACTAACACCCTTGAGACCTTTACGAAGCTTGTCATCCACAAACAGAGAGATAAACTCTGGAGAACGGGCATTCAAATTGATGAAGTACTCAAATGAGGAATTCAATGCATTCTGGAAAGTCTTGTCATTGTTAAATGCCAAGCTTATGATTTTATCATATTTGTCTTTCTCATCTAAAAGACGCTGAACGAACTCTACAGGATCCTTCACCCTTTCGGGATCAGTAACAAGCTGCTTACCAACCTCTCTGATGTGAGAAGTCATCACATCTCGAACAGTGCTGAGACCATTATCCACCCGACGGAATAGATTATACATTCTTCCCAAGTCTTCATATTTATCATCAAGAAGCATATTCACTAGGCCTGAATTGTCCATGTGAACCAGCCTTGGCATGTGGTTAGCAATCATCTCCCTCTCCACTACCTTTGTTATCTTGGCTTCACTTCTGATGTCCAGATAATGTGAAACTCTCTCGATTTCTTCATTCAGACGTCTCTCGGCTTTTTTTAGATAATCACCACAATCACAGCACTCAATGAACTGCTGAGACTCAACACGGTAAAAATTAGCAGAAACATCAAGAAATGGTTTCTCAAAGTCCTCTTGATAAACAGATGCCCCTAGATCCATTAGCATCTTTATTATGTTTCTCATCAGCCCCCTGTTAATAACTTCCCCAGTTCTCTCTTGCTGAATCCAATCAAGGAGAGTGTTTAAAAGCCTTGTCTGAATACTGCTGGCATGGATAACATTGTCTCTCCACAAATTCAAGCCAAGATCATAAACAGGAGTTTTATGAGTGCTGGGAACAAAAGTTCTGTCCATGTACATCAATATGTCTCGAATCATCTGCAACGCCTTATTATGTTCAGCCCATTTTCGATTCAGCTCTTCAAGAAAAGCGTCTCCCTGAGCAGATTCTATGGATTTCGATATATCTTTCAAGTGTGAAGTCATTGTTGTCACAAGACCCGAATAAAGCTTCTCACCATATTTGTGCAGAACCATGTTGTAAGCATTTCTGTAAAAGTTAACCGAAATCAGGAGATGAACGGTGTATCACAGAAAATTCTATGAATTTTGAGGAACTCCAGAACAAGAAGCAGGCAGATAATTTGAAGAAAATTGGATACCAAATGCTGAAAATGGAACTAGATAGGTTTATCCATAAAGCCATTTCAACAAGCTTGTGATAATCAGTTGGCATCTCTTAAGATTTGAAAAATCTTCGTTCAACACTGGCAGGATTACAATATACAACAACACTTGAAGATGTAAAAACTGGCATAATTTGAACTTCTCCTGTGAACCACCACGGCTTTTAAATAAAGTTATAGTTTTTGTAAGAAATGCCATTAAAATTTCTGTGATAGCAGTGCTTCTCAATAATTACAGTATATAAAAAATGGTTGCAATTAAGGCAACGTGATCTAGTCAGAACAGAAAATAAACAATGAATGTCCACAAATTGAATTACAAGAGTTCAATGGATATATAATTGCAAAATTCTATGACAATCATGTCAAAAGCAACAAGAAAATTCAGTGGATCAACCAGGGTTCAACAAAAAATGTAAGAAAGGTTCTTTCTGTAATATCCATACAGTGACATATTGGTAAAAAAAATTATCAAAAAATATGGAAAAAAAAAGAAGGTGAATGGGAGTTGTGACAAACAAATTCATGATATCCAGAAAGAATTTTTAATAAAAGAATAACTAATGCAGAGAAAAACAAAAGATATTGGATTTTGTCATCATAAAATCAGTCTAAAATTCCAACAACTTGTGAGACAACACAATATTTTATCACTGCCACTATACAGTGATATACATGTACCAAGAGTAATTTTATAAGGGAAACCATAAAAACAATCACAAGCTCATTTAGATAAATA